CACTCACGATTCCGCTGCTGCCGTGAGCTCCGTGGTGCCTTCCTATCCACTGGTCGTGATGGATGAGCCACTCATCAGAGGCTTGTCATCCCTCCTTCTGCCAGGACTGGCTAATCTATCACAGGCAACGGAGCAATAGGGAGGCTCCACGGAGCTCACAGCAGTGGCAGAATCATGAGTGGTGGGTTTGGCCCCAGTGTGCTGGACCCTCATTATCTGCACCTGTGGGGGGGAGGAATATTCGTATTCGTATACAAATACCCCCATCTCTAGTCAGGACTTCAGTTCCTGATGTACCTTGGTCTTGGACAAGCTACATTGTCTCAGAGTGTACGTAGAAGAAAGGACTGGTAAGCAACTTCTGAGCACTTTATATCTAGGAAACTCTAGTGCTGTAAGTTGGAACTGACTCACCAGAATGTATTTATGATTATTAAAAGAAAGCATTATTGTGTCAACGATCCCATCATCTTTTTCTTCTTTGGCCCTACAGAAACAAGATATAATATCTAACTGCCAGAGTCAATTCTGATAACCAATCAATTTATGAGGTCTGATTGCTGACCAACTTAATCAATAATTTTAAACGGGCCACTAATTATATGTCAGAATACAAAAGGTGTACTCTCATTTGTGTTTGTGTTTTTGTTTACTGGAGGCAGGAATGTGCACCGTGGTTTCAGAAGCCCAGCAACAGGAATTTGGCATTCAGAATAGGAGTAGGTTTATTAGCTGCTTGAAAGTAAGGCAGCTACAAATATTAAGAGAGGGGACTGGCATAATTAAAACTCTAAGAACAGAAGGACATTAGCATCCCAGATATACAAGAAAATAAAGATCAGAAGCTAATGCTGTGCAGGAACATATGGATTATTTGTATTAAATGGCCACATTTAAGCAAAGGACAAAGCTGGATCCTACCCTCTCACAATGTGAACACCCAGTGCATATACACATCAAATTACCTTATATAGGAAGGGGAAATATTGAGATTATGTACTAATTAGAAAATGAGTGCATCCAATCGCAAGTACCTTATCTGCATGAACATGAACACTATACATTAACAATTATGCACTCAAATGATTATATATTCCTGGAGGAAACTAATTCAATACTGAAACACAGAACCATTTGAATCACAGAAATCAGGCTCAGGTGGATTTAGACAGCCCACAGACATTCTCCTGAGCATCTAGTCCAAACACAGACATCTTCATTGGTATTCCAGTAAAGGCCACTGTCTAAAAACCTACTTCTAAGGTTGCACGGCAAAAAAAAAAAAAAAAAAAAAAAACCAGATGTGATGCATAGGAGCCACAGCAGACTGGCACTAATCAACTCTTCTGCCACATTTTTTATATCCTGAATGTGGTTTTAAGCACCAAATAGGAAATATACAGATTGGCAACTCCTTTGATGTGCATCACATTGTACTGCAGCGAATATGGAAGAGAATAACCTTGATCTGTAATGCAGCAGCAGGATATCCTGGTTGTTGTTGTTGTTTTCCTTACCACACACCTGGTATTTTGTTGTACAGTCATTTACGAAAGCTCTAGACTGGTAACACTGACCACCAGTCTCGAATGCTGTCCTCTTATATATGCAAAAATGCCAACACTGCCTGTTTGCACTAGACACCACACAGAGGAAAAAATGATCAATAGCATCTGCTTACATTTTAATGAGGCAAGACTCAGGGAAGGTTAATTGTCCCACATGTTCTCCTTGCCAATAACAGCCTTAATGAAACACAGTTTCAGACTGCTTTGCTTTTAATCTTATTTGGGGTTTTCAGGACACCAGGGCAGAATGCTACGTTTCTAACATACTATTAAGTTCAGTGGAAACAAAAGATCTACTGTAAAAAAGAAAAATGATACTGTTCTACAGTGAGATGCAATGTGATGTCTGTTATCAGTTCAGAATCTGCATTATAAGTATTTTTCAGATGAAGCTTGTAGCTTCTTGGCTTTTTACTTGATAGCCAGAAGCTATTAGGCACAATGTGCCTAGCCACAGCAAGATTAGTAAGGCACCAATACTGTTCAACATGATTCTGAAACCATTGTTTCAATTACACTGCTTAGCAGGGGCTTTCAATCAGTGGAAGCTCCCTCTGGAAGGGACATGGACCATTTTTATGAATAATACTGTTTCCAAGAAGATAAGATGCAGGATGCTAAAAACAGGCAATGCTTTCTTCACTCCTCTCCTCATCAAGTCTAAGAGTAGGAACATTACATGTTCCCCTGTTGGAGGTCACTGGATGGAAGGCAGTAGCAGCAACATCACCTTCTTGTTATTCCTTATGATTCCGGGTGGGGGAAAATAATTTATACAGAGCTATTCCTATGATGTAATATTGTTCCTAGGACAGCAATTTACGGGTACAACTGAAATATCCTATTATATTCCTCTTCTAATTTAAAAATTTGGTATCCAGCACAGATGTTTGCATGTAGCAGCAAGATTGATTGATTGATTGATTGATTGATTGATTGATTGATTGATTGATTGACTGACTGACTGGCTGACTGACTGACTGACTGATCATATTTTTATCCCACCTTTCTCCTTAAAAAGAATCCAAGGTGGCTTACATAATTAAAAAGACAACATTTAAAAGCTAAAAACAGTAAGTATACAAATATTTTAAAAGTATTTTTAAAAAGTATTACATTAAAAACGGTAATAAAATCAATAATAAAACATATTTGAAACAACGGAGCATAACAATCCATTTAAAAACTTATCTCTGACAACCCATTATTCAGGGAAAGCTTGCCTGAAGAGAAAGGTCTTTACCTGCCTGTGGAAGGACAACAAAGATGGGACCAGCCTAGCTTCCCATGGGAAGGAGATTCAGAGTTTAGGAGCAGCAACAGAGGAGGCCCTCTCCCATGTCCGCACCAAGTGTACCTGTGAGGGTGATGGGACAGACAAGAAGGCCTCCCCTGATGATCTTAAAGCCCAGGCAAGCTCACAGAGGGAGATGCGGTCTTTTAGATAGCTTGGACTCAAACCATTTAGGGTTTTATAGGTTAAAACATTTTGGACCCTCTGGAGTTTTGAAACACTTTCCAAAAGTAGCCCCACATAGTGTGTGTGACTATGACCAAAGACCTCAGCATGTTCAAGTGCAGAACAGATCATCGCCGTGGGGGCTGGGCTATGGCAAAAAATGAAAATTCAACCATATTGAGCAGAACTCGAGTACAGTTTCTCGAAATTCCAGATGCTACCAAAAAGATTCTAGTTCAAACTCCCAGCTGCAGAGATTATGTACCCAGACCACAGCAACTAACAGGAATTATCAAATTACTTCTGTAGAGTACTTATGCCTTCTATAGATCTCTTGAGTACCAAAACTAAGCAGAGCTAGAAATAAATCACTATATTCTTGAAGAATTAAGATATGTATCACAGGTAGAGAGTGGGAAATGAGATAGACAAAACATCTATACAGTATATAGAAACAACAAGCAATATATTCGTTTTCTATTTTCCCCTTTCCACAGCAGACAATTCTTTTTCTATAAAGGTACTGATGTAACTGCAGCATTACATTCCTTGTTTCCTTGTGTCATTTATTTAAACTTAAATTTGCCAGCATCTGCTTGCCAACACCTGGTGCTACAGTATCATCCTAGCTCTTTTATTCTTCTCTGTGTATTTTACATGAGAGACAGCCAGTTCTGACAGCTTTTCCTTTAGTGTATTTGATGGGCGTGCCCTTTGCTCTGGAAGATTTTTGCACTCAGGATGAAACATACATCACATTTAACACTGTTCTTCAGTGCTAGTTTTGACACTACTGTATTGCTAACACTGACCTTTGCTTGTCAGACTAGGGGATGGAACCATGGTATTGCTTGTACAATTTACTCCCCAAAGAAGGGGGGGGGAATAAAAAGTGGAAGTATTGCAACGAACACTGCGGTTCTGTCATCACGTTGGTTGGTATAACTGTTATGGACTTGCTTACAGATATACCAAGTTAAATAATAGGAAAGGTTACGAAATGTGAATCTTTTCTGTCTGTTTTTGCAGCATGGGATAAATCCCTGACAGCATTCCTGTGCAGATGGGAGAAATACTATTAGTGTACTAGGAAACAATGCTGTCATTAGCTGAGTGCCTTAGAATGAAGATGTTATTCTGGACAGAGAAAAGAATTTATCTGGCTCTTTAATTGCCAGATAAAAACTGTTGTATGAAACATCCCATGTGTTGCCATGGAGCTGCTGTCAGAACTGAACAAGAAGCGCTCTGGGTTGGATTGTATACACCATTTTTCTTGTTTCCCAGACAGAGAAAGGAGTTTGGATTGGGGGAATGGCCCAACTAGAAAGGGTTAAGCACTCTCCAGAAGCAGAAGCACGTCTCAACTCCATTTTCAGAGCAATCCAGTAAGGCTGAAAACTAATACAAAGAGAATCACAGGACATCACAATCCCATGTGCCATCTAACCCAGCCCTTTGTAATGGTCTGAACTTGCATTCAACAAGAGCACTCCAGTACATGATCTCATCCCACAAGCAACAGTCACTTGTAGACATGCAACAGTTTTTAGTGCTTTAAGCTAGATGGATACAGTAAAATATTTCTATGTGCATATTCCTCTTTCTTCCATTGCTAGGCCAAAGAATGGTAGAAACAGTCAAGGAAAGTAACACATATTCCATGCATTTGATTTTGACTTCAACAAGGTATCTAATAGGTACAATGCAATTCATTCCACTTTGTGCTTGAATTGAGTTTCCAACTCTTTAAACATAGGCATACAGTTATGATGTGTGAAGGATAATAGAAAAGGCGAAGAGAAACAAAATTTGCTTTGAATGAGACTGGGACCAAATCTTGAAAAAGTAACAAAAATCCCCACATTCTAAAATAACTAGGCCAAGTGTTTATTGAGTCTGTACAAAGAGAAGTTGTCTTAAACTTCACAGCACAACATTGTTTAATAGATTGAATGTAATATTTAGTTTACCTTGATCAAAAGGCTTGTTGGGATTCCAGTTTCTGAAATAATCATCCTAAGTAAAAGATGGAAACAAAAAAAAAAAAATTAAATGTCAGTAATCTTGTACATCAGTTGCATTATTACTTAGAACAGAAAAACAAAGCAAGTGTGAGAAACTTTTGTCATAATGTTTACTAATATCCATTGGCCTCAGGATAAAATCAGATTTTAAAATACAGCACACAACTTTCAAATATTTATACCAGGCATAACACTGATTAAGAAGATATATCTCAGAATGTGAAATACCATATTATCTTTACTGTCTTGGATTTAAAAAACACACACCAGAATATAGATTCTCCTCAGTTTGACTTGGAAATGGGCTTGGATAACTCAGGTACACTTTTATCAGCTACATTTTTATCACAGATCTTTTGATATGTACAGTACTAGTCAAAGGGAAAATAAAGAGATGTCTGACTGTTCGTTGTGGGTTTTCCGGGCTCTTTGGCCATGTTCTGAAGGTTGTTCTTCCTAATGTTTCACCAGTCTCTGTGGCCGGCATCTTCAGAGGACAGCACAGATGCCTGACTGTTGTTGCCACCACAGCTGCATTTGCTAAACTCAGGTATGGTGAAATGCCACCTCAGAATAGGAGCCTATTTGAGGTTTTATGAACACATTGTATGGGGAGTGATAAGAGGGATTTTTTTCTGCATCATTTTATATTTGAATTTGAGAAGAAGAATAGATATCATAATATGTGCAGTTGACCAGGTTGTATCACCAAACAAGAGTAGGCCAATTGAATCAATAGAATTTACACAAGTTCCAGGCTACATAAAATTTACACAAGATCCAATGGCTTTGCTCTAGAGATGGGCTGCTTCATCTTTTGGATGAGTAGGTGTTTGGCATAGGAGGTGGGGGAGGGACCTACTTTCAAGTCAGCGCCCACTGTAGAAGGCAGAGCTGGGAACCACTGAACACCTGTTTGTCTGAAGGATGAACCAACATGAACTGCCAAAGTGGCAGTTCATGCCCATCACTTGCTGAAACTAACAACAGGACTGAACTCTATGCATATGTAGAACAGTAGGATATAGTCAATCCCAAGGCCCTTAAATCTGCACCTCTGTGATTTAGCAACTGCAGTGTATTTTGAAATGAAACACACGAAGCACCCGTTAGTAGTAATAATAAAAGCTGTGTTAGAAAGGAAATGGGTACAAAAAAAAATCACTGCAAAAATATGTATGTCATACACTTCTGGTTTTGTACACCAAGATCACAAAATGGGAAGGCTTAGTAGTGAGATTCAGATGATTTTTGTATCTTATACCAGCTTGTAAGTACCAACATCTAGATATGACTTAGACTGGAGTGATTGCAGGTCTCCAGGATCCAATTCCCATCAGGTGGCACAGAAGAGTATCATGGTACTGAAAACCACCAAGGAAGTTCCACCCCATACATACAGTTCCTGGTGCAAGTAATGTGTGAAGACAACCAAAACAATTTCAGGTCCATATTCTGATTACGAATCTAATGGAAATGACTATCCCAGATAGTCAGTAGTATCCAGATGTCAATTCTGAATTTTTAATAGGAATATATGGCTGGAAAAATATATAAAATTTGAGTGGGAGGCAAAAGTGTTGCTCTAAAATATAAAAGCATTTTTAAATGTGCCTCAGAGAGATGCCTAAAAGTGAAAGTATTACTGAAAAACTCCAGCTGGGAACAAAACCAAAACAATTGGTTTGTTTTGATACACAGACAACAAATAAGATAAGACAGCAGAAACAAAGTCATCGAGTTCCATGAAAGTAACTAATGATCCTTACGTTATGTGAACATAGGAAAAAATGGAGTGCTGTTTACTTGCGGCTTGAATTACGTTTATTATAAAATGTAATTAACATAAAGAAATACCAAAAATAGATGTGGAAACCAATGAAAATAGCCATATATTTTACAGAAGAGGCTTTTATAAAACAGTGTAAAAAGAGAAAAAGATGAATGTTATTTTAAGTAGTTTTCTTCTTGATAAGCAAGTCAAAAAGTGTCATTTGTTTTATAAGGCTTTAGCCTCATAACACATAATTAATAATTTCATTAGTTCAGTGTGATAACGATGAGGAGTATGAAGTCATATAATATTCTGCAGTGTTTATGCGTGAAACATTCTAAATCAAAAAGCATGTACTGCCCAAATATAGTTTTAAGGAAGTTACTTCGAGTGAGGGCATTTTGCTGGCTAAGGGTTATCTCGACAGGCAGCTGAGTTGACAGCTAAGTTGACACACAGCTGTCTGGACAAGCTGACATTGCTTACCCAAGGGAACCCAGCTTTTCGAAGGTTCATACTCCTGAGAGAGCTAAAGCTCTGCATCACGATGTTTTAACTCAAAACATTAAAAGTATTTAAATAGAGACCTTTATCATGTTCACAGAACATCTCCAAAAGGACGAGATCATGTCACAGAGATTGTCTCACAGAGCACATCTCCCAAGAACCACAGACACCTGCTTTTTGCAAGCAAGTGGGAAGATGCATATGGACTGAGAGCAGCCAGAAGATAACCACGAGAATAACCTAGATAAAGGCTGTGGTAAGCTTTTCTCTTTTAGAGAAAATATTTTCCTGGTGTTAGTAACATGCTTAGGGCTAAGTAATGCTTTTTTGATTTCAGAAATTTTTACTTTTAAAAGTTTAAATACTTTTTCATGCATGTCACTGAAAACTATAAAGCTTTTGCATGTTATGATTTTATTCTTAAGAACTCTGAAATGCTCTAAAGATGTACAGTATATTTGTCATTAGATTAGAAATGATTATTGTTCATTTTTACTCTTATACTCTAAATGAAGATGCTCCTTTATCTCAGAATGTAACTTAAAACATTCTTTTTTGATATTTTATTGTACTTATGCTCCTATATTTTCGACTGTATTCAAGTACAACTTACATTCATCTTTTAAGCATTCATAGCTCTAAGAATGATTTTGCAAGCTAAAGCAATATGCTTGTGACTTCTCAAAAGTTATATGTTTGAAATATTTTTGGACTTCATGTTTTTCAAATTGAACCTCAAAATTATGTAAGTAAATAAAACTTGCATAGAATTACCAAGTTCTGGAGTTGACTGGAATTACTGAAGCAACAAAAACACTTATATGATACCCAGATGAGTTTACAAACAGCTTGTGACTGATTATTTGGTTTTGTTCTGGTATTAACCCTTTACTGGGATAATGTTAGCTATGACAAATAATAGAATATCTTCTCTTTGTCTGGGAAGTCTGCAAATCTTGTAGGACGCCCGGGGGGAGTCAGTAGTTCCAATCAAGACCTGACAATCTGAAGTTGAATATTATACATAATCAGCATTTCCAATAACAATTCTGCTGGGTTTTAAAAATGCTCTCACTTTAATCTTAATCAATTAGTTATTTGCATGAAATGAATATGTGGAGAGGAGAGGAGACAGACAAATAATTGAATCAGTTCTAATACCAAAGCAGTACCTGATCGTGGGGCAGGGCAGATGCTGTTCACAGAAACTTTATCTTTGGGTTGAATATTATACCTTTTGAGCTATAAGTTCATGAATTGCAATTTTTGAAAGAAGGTGCATCCTTGAGTGAGTTTATTCAGCGTGATGTTTTACTGATCAGGTGAATAAATTGTACACATAGATTTTCTTTCTGAGAAAAATTTTACTGGTAGTGACTTCAACTCAAGTTTGATTGTTTTTAATTACTCTTCATATAAAATTCAATCATTTTATTTGATTTTCTCAGAACCCTTTTATTCTTTAAAAAGTTCATCACTTCAGTTATCTAAATTGTGAGTCCCCTAGATGTTTACATTTGTAAACATTAATTTAGTTCATCAGAAAATAGCAACCTATAAGTGTTAGAAGAAGAAGAAGAAGAAGAAGAAGAAGAAGAAGAAGAAGAAGAAGAAGAAGAAGAAGGCAACAGTTGTGATATTTTCTTGATGTTGCTAAGGAGAGCATTTTCTTTGCTATCTAAACTTTCTGCATTAGCAAATATTTTGAAATGGAGGTGCTTTCAAAAAATTGTCCTTCATGTTAAATCTGAAGTGATGCAGTAACATGGAAGAACCATACTACAGCAGAAAATGAAAGTTTTGCACTTATAAATCCCACTTATCTTTCTGGAAGAGTGAAACACATCTATATTGGTTAGGTGGTGTCTTAATTTTGTTGTACTGTGATTTCAAACTATTAAAATGTCATATTGCAATGCCCTTCACTATACAGTGGACCCTCGACTTACGGAATTAATCCGTATTGGAATGGTTACTGCAGGTCGAAAAGTCCATAGGTCAAGGGTCCATTTCCCATAGGAATGCACTGAAATCCATTTAATCCATTCCAGCGAAAGAGAAAAAATCCTGGGCTTCCAAAGCTGCATCCGCTGCCCTCTGCCTCCCGTCCCCGTGGGGACGGGAGGCAGAGGGCACCGGGGACAAGAGACAGAGGGCAGCGGGTGCAGCTTTGGAAGCCCGGGAAGCCGGAAGCCGCCCCGACCTCCACACCCACTGCCGGCTTTCAGGGCTTCAAAAGCTGCACCTGCTGTCCTCTGTCTCCTGTCCCCGGTGCCCTCTGTCTTCTGTCCACAGGAAGCAGAGGGCACTGGGGACAGGAGACAAGAGGGCAGCAGGGGCGGCTTTGAATTTCCCACCCTTTCCCCCTGCCTTTCGTAGGTCAAAGCTCCGGCCTCAAGTCGAACTAAAATTTTGCAGCCGGAGCTTTTCATAACCCCGAAATTTCCGTAAATAGGGACCTTCATAAGTCGAGTGTCCACTGTACTGTAAAATACCATACCATTCTAATATTTTCAAAACCTAAATCTTTAAAACAGATAGTTGATATTACTTCAAATATAGAACCAAAATTATATTTTCAGTATATAGCAGGTTATACAGTATAATTTTAATATGAAAAATCAAACATACCTCAACTTCCTGATTACGTAGGCATAATAAATGAAGAAAAACAAAATAATGAAATTAAATGTTGCAAAGAAATCCTAATTTTTCTTACTTTTCCCAAGCAAGCCACACTCCTTCCCCAAGAAACATTTAAAATTTTAACACTGAAACATATTTTATATTTACATTTTTTCTAAATTCTTTTGCATGTCATGTAGCCATCTCTCATATAATTAACTGAGAACATAAATACATACCAGAATCTGTACACACTAAATTATCTTTTGAAAACAGCAAAATCCTTATAAAATGACATTCTGGATAAATTATGTAACTGAACATCACAACTGCAAGTAAAGATACTTCTGTTAAATGCACTTGATTTTTTTTTATCATACAGAATGCTAGTGATCATGAACATAGTGAGAATCACTATCATCTCTACTGTAGACAAGCATAGTACTCCATAAGATGTAGGATGAAAAAAACTGTGGGCCTTCAGATGCTGCTGGTCATCAGCACCCATCATTATTAACTAGCACAGCCAGTGACAAGGGATGCTGCAGGTTCCAGCCTCACAAAATCTGGAAGGCTGCAAGTTACAGTATCTGCCAGTGTATAAGATGACTGGCCGTATAAGACGACTCCAACATTTCAACTCAAAATCTAGCATTCGTTATATGCTCGCCGTATAAGACTACCCCTCCCTCTGCCTTTTACCCCGCCAGAGTGGCCAAAGAGGGAGGAGAAGGAAAGCAAGTTTCTGGGGTGGGCTAGTGGAATGGGCTGGCTCGGGGGAGTGGGGGGAGGAAGGACTGCTGGGACACTTGTGCTGGGCACTTCATATCCATCTCCTCTGAGAGACAAATATGAAGGTCCCCATGTCTAGTAACATTAAAGATAATTTTTACTGCATGCATTATCGAGTGGCATAAGGGTCACCTAACATGCATTTCAATATGTTTTATACCCTACACTGTGAAGAGTGAAATTAAGCCTGAATTCATCTTCCAGTATTCCAGCATCGGAGATCACAACTAGTAAGACAAATAAAAGCTTACTGTTTCCTTGGCTACACCAGCAAATATTGTCTGAAATCCTGTTGCTTTGCTATGTTTTTATTACACCAGCAGAAAGCAAACACTGTAGCAATCATCGACCTATACTGTAGCTGGCAACTAACAGGGATTTTTGTGTGTGTGCCAAGCCAATGGGTAAAAGTGCCCCAAGAAACACAGCAGTAATTTGTTAATTTTATGATATTTTATGATATTTGTAAGCCGCCCCAAACAGACACTGTCTGGGGGGGCGGGGTAGATAGATAGATAGATAGATAGATAGATAGATAGATAGATAGATAGACAGACAGACAGACAGACAGACAGACAGACAGACAGACAGACAGACAGACAGACAGACAGACAGACAGACAGACAGACAGACAGACAGACAGACAGACAGACAGACAGACAGACAGACAGACAGACAGACAGACAGACAGACAGACAGACAGACAGACAGACAGACAGACAGACAGACAGACAATAAATAAATAAATAAATAAAATGCCAGCTTGAAGTGAACATTATACCAGTTGCCTTCTGACTGCATAGCAAAACAACAGGATTTCAATCACTTCTACACATTAAATATGGGGAAGGGGTTTCTTGTGGTTTATATGTATACCATCTGCGTCAGCAGGATGTACACAATTTGGATTCTAATCCTAGAGTGCCTTCACCTGACAGTCATCCCACCTGATAGATTTGGGTTGGCAGTGTTGTACTGTGACTCAGTGCTTTCCCTACCAAGCTTGTTGGAGTTTGTCTCAGATGTGATGTTGAGGTTTCCCCACACTATTGTTGATGGGGAACTTTAATATCCATGGTGAGGCTAAACTCACAGGGTGGCCCTGGAGGTCACAGATTCCATTACATGCATGGGTCTATCCCAACGTGTTACTTACTGACCCACACATAGAGCTGGACACACTCTAGACCATATGTTCTCATTGGCACAGGTAGGCTACGATCTGGGGGTGATGGACACGAGGTTCTGCCATTGTCATGGTCAGATAATTTCCTGCTGAATTTCAACTTGGTCACAACAACCTCCACCTGCAGAGAAACTTGACCAGAGAAAATGGTCCCCCCTTGGAAGCTTCTCAAGCCTGGTGGTTTTCAGAAGGCCTTGGGACAACATAAATTGCTACATGCACTGTTGATATCAGAGATCAACTACTGTAATGCTCTCTACATGGGGCTGCCCTTGAAGCTGCCCAGAAACTATCTGGAATGAACAACCAAACGAATGAATACATTTGCTGTGCTTTAGATTCATGTAGCACCCTCCAGAAACCTTACTCTTGTTTCTTCTGTATCTGCTTTTTAAACCTGACAATTACTATTTGAAACAAGCCTAAACTTTTGATAACACTGGAACATAATTCATAGATGTTTTGCTGGCTTTACTGTATCAAGAAAAAGGAGCTCACACAAGATGCTTATGTTTATGAATAACAGAAACATTTGCTAAATGGGGCTATAAATATTTATCTTTTGTCAGATTAATAGTAGTTATCAGTTAAACTTATACATAAATCTAGCAGTAATGAGATATTGAATCACAAAGCTCTATAGGAAGCATACTACTCTCAAGGCATCATTCACACATTTGGGAAACTGAACTGCTAATCTCAGCTTTGCTATAGAAAGTTGCAAGAAACAGCTGTTTGGGGGAAAATGTAGCCCAATGCAAGTCAGCCATTACTTCTCAGCTGTATCCACAGCAGGAGAGGAAGTAGCCATAAATACTGCTGGGAGTCTCAAACATTCAGCACGCTGAAATCTCATTAAATGTAATGCTGTAACACCCTTCAAAAAGCTGTATCTATTATGACTTCAGTTCTGCCTCATAGCTAATTTTTTTCTCTACAACTTTGGCTCTATTATAAACAAATATCCTCTCTCTCTCTCTGTCTCTCTCACTCACACACAAACACAAACACACACACACACAAATACACACACATTTGTTGGCATGAGAAACACTGCAAGGTGGCCCTTGCCAGCAGTGATAGGATAACACAGTGAAGAGCTAGCCCATGTCATGCAAAGAGCCATCATATTGTGGTTTTCTTACTGCCAACATAATGTTCAGCAAAAAGCATCTGAGAAAAATGCCACTTACAATTTTTCATTCTGTCTGAAATCAGCCTTAATAAAACAAAGTTCAACCTGTTTATTTCTTCTGCTTTGTAATGCCAAAGAGCCTTCCAACAATAGGGTAATGCTGGAACAGTAATTGCTGCTTCCTGACACCTGACTAGCCTGCACAATAAATATCATCACCACCATCATCTTGAAACTGCAAAGCTGGAAGGACTGAAGGGATCATCAAGTTCAGCCTTGTCTAGGAGGTTCAGTGGGGAACTAAATCCTCAACCTCTGGCTCTGCCAGATCCAAACATCTCCACCAAATCTAATACAGTACTCATTTAGAGCAAATTGTAATGTTAGCAAATTTTACTTTTTATTATTGTTAATATGAATGGAGATATTTTTCATTGTAGCCACATATGAGAGCTGCTTTTGTAGAAAAGTTAGTTCTTAACCTCCTAAGCACACTGTAATCTCTCTAGAAATCTTTTTCTGCTCTCTCTCTTGAGAGATGTGAAATATTCATCCAATTAGGCTGGTTTCCACAGTGAATGAATTGCATATTCCATAGGGAATGTTTCTTTTAATTTTTTTTCTCCATTCAGCAAGAAGGAATCCTTGAAGATGTAGTGATACATTTTCCCAAGGCAGCTGGAATTCAGGAGATATGACTGCTGCACATGACAAGATAATAAGATAAAATATTAGAAAGGATGGCTTTAGATAACAGTGGTGCTGGACCAGGAGGGTAGAGCTGGGGGAATCAGGTTCTCGCTAAGAGTCACTGCACGTCCATTGCTAATGAAATTCTAGCCAAGTCTCTGGCTTAGAAAAGACTTTAGGCTGCATTTCTATGCCCACTTACCTGGCAGCAAGCACTATTGACCTCAGTACGTCTTGTGAATAGACATGTATGAAATTGCATTATCAGTTCTGTTTTATTAAATAATGAAGACAAAGACATGTACTGCTAGAAAATATTATAGCAATTTTCTTTTATGTGGGATCTAATAACCCAATATTGCTCTTAATCCTTTTTTGTTTAAACACACTTAATTTGCAAGATTTCTTTAAATTATAGTTTCTCCCACACACATTCCAGAGATAATGAACAGTCTGGCTATTCATTAGCCATAGTAACTCACAGGAAACTCAAACCACTCAGATGCTAGCATACACCCCATTTTCTCTGCAGGGTAGAAATTATAGGTCGCATATAGCACTGTCTGTTGGGATGCATGATACAAGCTTTTCGTAGGCTCAACACATACATCCTCAAGCAAATACAGAGTCCCCTATGCTGACATGGGATGTGATCTGAACCCCCATCTTTTTGCTTTAGAAGGCATCAAGCCCACATAATTAGATTCAGTAGTGTCATGATATCAATTCCTCCACAATGCAGTGCAGTGAATATACATGGGCATGACACTGTGGGGGAACTGAAATGGTAGCAAAACCTAGGCTGGCATCACAGACTCAATGCTCCTTTCAGCAGTGTTATAAAGCTGCTTGCTGCCACCATAGATTAACTCAATGCTTAAGGGACCCCTAGGGCCAGCCTGGGATGGTTTTGTCTGCAAGAGGAATGGCTGCAGGTTATTTTGAGCCAGAACTTCCCACCATTAAAAAAATAAAATAAAAAACAAACAAACTACTTTTTCGCATCTGCCATTACTCTATTTCCAGTAGGTTCTTCCCATCATTCCCAAGCCAAATGAATTTAACTAAAGGCAACAGAATGGGGTCAACAGGCATCAGATTCTTTCTGTAGCTGAAGTTTCCTGTGAGGCAAGAAAAACTGCTAGGTAGGAAACTTCAGAAATCCAAGAACAACAACAGCATATTAGCTTCATTATTTGTTCTCCTGAAAAG